TTTGATGTGTCGCAAGAAAAACAAACAAATTATTTTCATGAGTTCAAAGCAGCAGATAAATTAAGACTAGAAGAATTGGGCAAATCACCTAATCCATTCGTAAGGAGTCATCCAGAAGCCTATTATAGAAGTCGCGTGCTTAATTTCTCCAACATTCCTGATCTTCCTGAACCAGTCAATGATCAACTTGAGGACATTAACATCTTGCATGAAGGTTTTATGCGTGGTAATATGCTCTTTTTTTTTTTTCCTCAATAAATAATATCGATAAAAAATTCTCACTTTTTCCAATTTAGATCTTTCTCAGTCCAGCTCAGGTATTTATTATTATTAAGTACGTCCGTCAGTCTTTTATCTCCTAATAAATTGAACTTAGAGTTATTCTCATCAGATATTTTAAGTGACTCGGAGATGTAGATCAGTGATGTGGAAGGTATGCTTAATTTGATTTTACGTTAACTTTCCATTTCTTTTGAGAATCTTTAACATGGCTCTTCTTGACAATGACAGCCTACCTTGACGATATAATCAGACAAATTCGAACATCGAAAAAAAGTAAAAAAAATTTCCAAGAAATCAAGAGTAAAGTTTATTAATGTGCAAGCGAGTTTTTGGCCCGCGGATGCCATCCGATTGCCCCACATCATTTGTATTTAGCTCTTCTCTTGAGAAAAGTATTTTAAAAAGAAAAAAAAAACAAAAAAATGTTAATAATTACAATATTAAAACATATAAAAATAATATGTATAAATAAAATTTATGTAACATTCTTATAAAAAAAATCACATCTTTATAATATCTTAAGCATATATCGTATATACAATGTTAAGAAATATTTTAATTATAATTTTTTGTTTTTTTTTAAAATAAAATTTTTTTTTTATGAATTTTCCTATGCACTAGGTGGGTTAGTCGTGCCATAAAAATATCGCGATTTCGTGATCTCCAACCATGTATAGTAACGTGATAAACAAGATAATGTTTAATTTCAGATTATATTAAAATGGCCAGAGATCGGGACCGCGACATCTTTTGGCACTACTACAAGGAGGAGGACAAATTAGTGATATAAAAAATTTTTTTAAACTGCGATTATTGCGATTGACGTTAATATATGACATATACTATTCATATAACTTTATTCCCTTGTATAACCATGTCTATCAAAATCTTTTGCTTAGAAAAGGGAAAGGTTCCTGCCGTCTGGCATGCCTTCGAAGTTGAGATTGGTAGGGATGAATCTATTAACGCGCCCAAGAAAAAGCCATCAGGGCGGAGAAGACGGTTGACGTTGATCCCAACAACCTAAGGCTGTGGAAGGTAAACATCCAGGATGATCGTGACGAACTCTACGAATCCTGCGCTCCCAGACAATGACGAACTTCAAGCTACAAAAGGAATTCGCAGATACTTCCCTGAACAACCTCTTGACGGCTACATCCATGTAATCGTTGAGGTTCCTACTGGTAATTAATTATTCTAACATTTCTTGCTTACTGTTCACGCCACATATTAAAATTTCCTCATTGTCGTTGGATTTTGGTATATTGGTTTCAACGTTGACTAACTTGTGCTTTTCTTTCCTGCTTCTTATCGTCAAACCCATCCAAAAAATGCATTCGCGTTATTGTAGAACAATCCGTCGTCTCTGGTAAATGAGTTGTAATAAATTTAGACATGTGACCTTGCCGAACTTTTCGTTAACCATTTTTTTTATCTTTATGTGACATCAAATATATAATATTTTGCTTTTTTTATTTACTGCTCTTTATACTCAAAACTCTCCTAACACAGTAGTTAGAAAAAAAATAATTGATGCTTTTCCTGGAGGTACAATGTATTAAGCAATTTCTGCAAAGAGCTCGTCGTTCTTATGCTGAGGTCGATTGGAAGTACTATTTATATCCTAGGACTGCCATATGTGAAACCAGAACCTTTGCTTTATACTTCTGGTGCTAATTGGGAATATCAACTTCATCCATCTTTGAAACCCATTTTGCGAAGGGAGCTTAAAAATCATTCACTAATTTTCTTTCAGGGTGTTTTGACAAAATGATGATTCCATTATACCTCTTCCTTTCCGAAGCCGGCACCGGAAAATCTCGAAACGCTAATGAGTTTCACTAGACGGCAATCACTTGTTTGTCACAGCCAGAAGATACGGAGCTGTTGATTAGGATCAAAGAAGCTTGGGTATTTCATGAACGATCTGCGTCTTAAGCTTACCGAAAGATATCGTGATGCTATTTTTGGTTCCGTGAACGACGCCAGGCCCGTTGCACGAGCAATATTGACCCGGCGTCTCTTAAATTTATATAAAAATGTTCCTAAAACCAACAAAACACCTGACCAATTTTCCGGGAGTGGGTTGATTCGATTCGAACAATAAATAAGGATAGTTCACAGGGATACCTCACCGTACCGTACGTCTGACTCTGGATATTTGTGGAGGTTTCTAATAACCAAGCATATCCAATACTTTTCGATATTGTGAATTTTCTGATTATGGAGAACAAAGAGCGCTTATTGATCCTGTATCGTCATTACAAGCAGAGTCATGGCAGAGTTTTGAAAAATTTGTCGCGTCATTTCGTTATGTAAAGTCAGCTGTGATTGAAGAAGATGAGCTAACAATGATCTCGGAGGTTCATGCGGGAGCGCGTTTGAATGGCGACATCCAATTTAAAATCACAATCTGCAACTTGAGATTGTTAGAAACTAAACAGATACAAAATCTGAAAATTTTAATAGCTTTAACATGATAAGATATACTTTTTACTAAATTGCAATAAATTAATTTATTTTTTGAGACCATTATTTTAATAATAAGTTAAACAATTCTTTTTTACTAAATGGTAATGGATTTTGTATATAGACTTGACATTTTAACTTATTTTAAAAATATTCAATAGTATTAAGATCTGAACTTTGGAAGAATTATTGAATGCAGATAATATATTTTTTTCTTTTTATTTTGTTATGATATGTGCTTGATGTATTGAACAGTTGTTATCTTGAAATATATACTGTAATATTTTGTTTTAAAAAAGTTTTTAAGAATAATAATAAACTATTATTAAAAATTTTTATATAATTTTTTGCAAATTAACATTTATTAATTTTTATTAATGGATCTAAACTACTTGCAATAAAATATTTCAAACTATAACTTCTTTCTACTTAAATTAAAGTTGATACAAGATAATTTATATTATATATTTTTTTGGTAATTGTCAAATTATCACTTTTAAATATTTTAAGATAGGATTTATTACTTCCAATAATAGAATTTTATTTAAAAGTTCAATTTAACTATTTAACTATTTAATTGTTTAATTTTTATAAGAGTTAATTTTTTTAACAAATAATTTTTACTTGTTAACTTAAGTATAATAGTTTATTTCATTTAATTTTCATTACAATATATTGTATATATATTAATTTCAATTAATATTGATTTTATAAATTTGTTTTATAAAATACTTAGGATAGTTTTTTAATCTTTTTAATAATTTGTAATAAGTGATAATTTAGTTAGATTTTTTTTCAAGTATAAGATTTTACTTGATTAGTTTTTTTGTAATGGTTAATAATATTATAAACTATTGATTTTGATATTTTAAATGTTTTAATAATGACAAAAAATAAAAAATTATATTTTCAAATATTAATTATATAAAAATATTTGCTTTCTAATAATTCTTATATTTTTATATCATTGTAAATAAATTTTAATACAAATGCAAAAAAAATATTTCTTTTAAAAATTTGATATTTATTTATTTTATATAATATATTATTAATAAAAATATAAAAAAAACTTTTAATAATTTTTTATATTGCTAATTATATAAAAATTGATTAATGTCCAGTAATTAATAGCAAAAAAATATATATCAAAAATTCTATAAATAATATAATCAATTTATAAATTTAAAAAATTCATTAAGTTTCTATAAAATTATATAAGCAATTCTTGAAATAAAATATTTTGAAATTTTATTAGATATGGATATAATTAAATTATTATATTAAACTATAGATAAAATAATTTTAAAAAATTATTATTTATAGGTATTAAAGCTAATAATAAAATAAAATTTTTAGTAATATAAAAATATTTATATTAAACAAAATTTATTTTTATTTTTAATAAATTTAAATAAAAAATAATTATACAATTTTTAAATCATATATAAAATATTATTTATTTATTTTTAAGGTGAACGGGCACTTAATACCATGGTTTTTATTGAATTTATAAAAATAATATTTTACTATTCTAAAAATTAATATTATTATAAACTTTTTATAATTTTATAATTATCTTATTTGATCTTTATCTTTTTTCTAAATATTTAATAAAATTACCTTTTATTTTCTATTATTAATTTAAGAATTTTTTATTAATAAAGTTTTTTTTTATAAACAAATTTTTTAGTAATTTTTTTTAAAAAATATAAAATAACAAATTATATTATATATATTTGAAATAAAAAAACTATATTTATAAATAAAATATACTTTAAAATAAAATAAATATATCAATAATTTATTATAATTAAAAAAATTCAATTTTAAAATGATAATTTAAAAAATCAAATAAAGATCATTTTAAAAAAAATTATTTTATATATATTAAAAGCAATTAATTAATATTTATAATATATTAAAAATTAAGATTTTTATAAAAACTTTAATAATTAAATAATTAAATATTGATATTAAAATATTATATTCGATTTTGACTGATTATTAAATGAAATGCAAAAAAAGAAATTATTTCAAAATTTTTTAGAATTAGAATAATTTAAATTTATGAAAAAAGAATTAAAAAAATTTTTCAAATGAGATTATAATTAATTTTATAAGCTTTATGAAAAAGAAATATAAGTTAATAATTAAAAAATAATTGTAAAAGAAAAAATTATTAATTAAGCCGCGCATGTATCGCACTTTAGCCCCCCCCCTCCAAAAAAAGAAAAAATTATTAATTATATATTAATAAAATCTTTAAATTTTAATTTCATTTTGATATATATATTTTTTATTAATTTATGCAGTAGTTTTTGAATAATAATAAATAAATAATTTCAAAATTTTTGCAACACATTGTATATTATATTATTAGAGTGATTTGTATAATAAATCGTGTTTTCGTTTATACTGTAAATAGATTTTGTTTACAGTATATACAGTAAATTAAAAATGTATGCATATGAGTCAGCGATTTTATTAAAAAAAAAGAATCTTCCATGTAGCCACGATTATCCACAGATATAGTGGTTAAATAAAAAGGAAATAATTTTATTAATAATGAATACCTTTTTTTTTAATGTACAGTAACATTGTAATTTCAAAATTACTTTTCATCACATTACGTATGTATGAATGTTTTGATGAAAAACACCAAGTTTATTATTAGCAAAGTATAAATGTGATAATACTGAGCTATTAAAATTCACCATACTTTCACATTATTTATTGCTTCGAATAAAGCAAATTTTTTTAATAGCCGATAAGGCACGATTTTTTTTTTTATAATACCGAAGGCCGTACATGAAAGACAAAATCCATTCAATCTTCACATCAATATATCGATTTCTTCGCTATAGATCGGGAATTGGTTGGAGGCCGGAATTGACAATGAACAAGTTTCTTTAACCAAGGCCGAAAGAATTGTCACGATCATTACCATGATATAAATCGCAAAAACACGGTAAATCATGAAATTGAGTGAGGTTTTGCCAAAGGCCATCGTATTTAAATTTTACAAGAAGGGAGTTGGGACTCAGTTCCAGCCGAGATATAGTCGAATTTTGTTATCAATGAGTCTCCAGGACCCTTTTTTTTAGAAAAAAATCTTTTCGCCGTGAAAAGTTGAAGGTTGAAAAGGTCTAAACGGACACTTTTTATCTAATTTTTTTTTTATCGAAAGTGTAAGCCAAAATTACCATAGATGGTTAGGCATTCGGCTATGTCCCACCCATTCTGCCAATAACCGAGGCGACAGTATTCATAAAACGCTTTGTTAACCTCTTACCATTGTACTATAGTAATATAATAGTCAAAAAGTGAATCGCTAGATTGTTTTTTTTTTTCTTACAATCCTTGTTTAACGTCTCCTTGTCCCTTGGATGATCTGCACCGGTCGATGGATATACTGTACAATTGGTCGATTTATTTATCGAAGCATTCAGGGTACAAGCATTCTTAGATGCTCGTCTTTAACTAACATACTGTATGAGGCAAGATATGAATTAACCACGACTTCCAACTTCTTCTGATCATCTTATTAGATTCATTTGGAAATTGTGTTAAATCCAGGAATTTTTGAACTACAAGTAGTAATACAGTACATGTAGATTAAATTTTTTGTTTTTTGAGCTTAATTCAAATGTCATTACGTATGAATTTGGTTGAATCGGTCAAGAACACTTTGTGTTTATATAACACCAGATCATAAAGTAAAGTAAAGAAATGTTAATAATCTTGAAAAATCATGGGCAACACCGTAAACATAAATTCTGGAGGCTTTATTAGTTATGCAGGGATTGATGACAAATGTTACAGATGCAGGGTCTGAAAACACGTCAATAATGTTCATCAAAGACGAAAAGTTTGATAAACAAACCCTTATTCGTTTAAGGACTTACAAAATATTTGTACGTTTTTTCCTTCATGAAGATGTTCCTAGTAGATGTCTCTTCCATAAATGGTTGTAAAGCTTTTAAATGTGTGTTGGCGTAACAGGTTTTTATTTTATGGTTCCATTGTTTGATGTTCGTTAAATTGAGATCACGTAGTTCATCTTTTTAAATCTCGAATAAATTATGTAATCTTTCACCAAACGGATTCTATATTGGGAGATAACATCATTTGTTTTGGTAATACATTTGTCTAATACACTGAGGGATTTTGATAGAAAAGATTGTTCTCCTTGGTCTAGACCTTGATAAAAGGCTATAGAGGTCTAGATCTTCGCCGTCGACTTTTGGTGGGACAGAATACGATTATTCCGAAGATTCGACTCGATAACAATATTACTTTTTTTGTCCAAAACTCTCCTAAGGAATTTAATTCATGTGGAAGTAGGTTCCAAAATCGGTATTGTACAGTCGAACGGTGGAATACAGGAGGGTCTAGAACCATTTTGTTGTCATGCCCTGCTGCATCTGATTTTTAAACGACGATTCATGTGTAAAAGAGAATAACCCCACTGACCGAAATTCCCACAAAAATTTTCCTATTCCTTAAAACCTTGATTGTTTTTCACTTTCATTCTTTTTGCTATCATTTGATCATCTCTACATTTTTCTCGACATCATCTTAAAAGGCTGTACAGCAACCCACGCGAACTGTCTGATAATTAATCGCCGTTGAAAAATGTCATCAGCAATTAATACAATCAAGGATAACATCGAAGATGACGCACAAGCAAAGGAGATAGCAGAGCAAGATAATAATCGTGCTCGTGTGGTAGCTCTCGCGGTAACTTTGATTCTTTTCATTTCTTTGTTTAGAGAAATCCAAATTTGCTCAATTGATATTTAAACAGGTGAGAGAAGCATGTGCAATCGCCAAGTTAAGTCAGGACAAACAAGATTGGGAAGCAGCGTGTCGCATGATATCAGAGAATAATTTACTCACAGATAAAGAAAAATCCACAATAACTGCTTTATTATTGCATAAGTCTTCTTCGTGTATGTATTTGATTAATTGATGAAAGAATATCATATTTTCGCGCAAAATGTCTATTCTTACCTTTATTTGTTGTCACATCAAAAAGGAAATTTGGATCATTCTCTGAGACGAATTGCATCTACCAATGTACTCCCAATATCTTTTCTATCCATATAATATACTTGTATATATGCTTATTGATTTATACCTTCGAATGTCAAATTCCTCTCGTTTGAACCTGTTAGCCTACCGACCGCTTTTTTTTTCTTTTATTCTTTTTTTACGATGACAAAATTTGGTCGCATAGCCAAGTACTGTACACGTATTATTTTTGCACCCAAGATATTCTGGTCACTAAGCTTTAATTAATCCTATGATTTCTCCTCGAAGATTGAGAGTAAGATGAGTAAGATTTATTTATGATAATCATATGATCTTTTAAGATTCATCGCTTACGTTGCGATAACGTATGTACTTTCATCAAAAAAAAAAATTAAACAATTAAGCGATAACCGGTTTACCATATTAAACTGTATATGGTAACCCATTTCCCACATTAATATTATTTGTTTCAATTGACACAACGTACGTATTTCCTAATAAAGACTTATCTAATTTGTTATCACGAGTTACTTTGGTTCGCTTATCATATTTACTTTTATTAAAAAGTTAAATATTTAATAATAATTTTTATATAGGCTTTCTAAATTAACACATCATATACTGGATTTAAAAACAATTTGATTAATTCCTTAATCAAAAATACAGTATATGATACCATGTGTGCAATTCATTATATAAACATCTAATAAATAAACATACTGTATATATTTACAATAATTATCAAAATTCAATATTAAAAATTAATAACAATTCTTGAAATATTAATATCAAGATCGTTAACTTTCTATTTTTAAATTTTAACACAATTTAAATAAAAAAAAGTATTTGAAAAATATTTTATTAATACTTTTTTAAAAAAAATTTTTTTAAATTTTAAATTATTATTATACTTAAAAACTTTATATTACAATATAATATTTTCTATATAAAAATTTAAAATTATTTCATTTTTTTTTAAATATAATTACAAAAAAATATAATATAAATTTTAAAATACTTGAGTTGTTATTACCAATTTTAAATACAGCTTCTCCATATTATTGTGATCACTTTTTCTTATTTAATAATTTAAAATTGAATAAGTAAATATTATATAATTTTTTTAGCATACTGTATATTTATTGAAACTTGATATATAATATACTAAAATTTTATACAATTCCATTTAGTTATACAAAAGTTATGTAACAATAACTTAGCATTGTAATCAAAATTAATTTAATTCATATCCAAGTGGTAATTTTTAAAAAGAATTAGAGATTATATAAAATAATCTGTTATTTTAAAGATAATTTCTTTCAAATATTCCAAAGTACAACAAAAATTTTCCAATAAATCTTTGTAATCAAAATGTGTTAAATAAAATAGTAGTGTTTTAATAAGACATCAAGTCAAAAAATAGATAATTACAAGAGTAAGTTATTCAAAATTGATTGAAAATTACATGGACAGTAGCTATTTTTATAGTGTTTTCTATTCTAGACTATCTAGGTTATCTGGATTGTTTGGATTGTCTAAGCTATCTGATCTACATATCACGATATTATAATTTCATAAATCATAAACCTTGTAGATCTTTTGAGCCTTCTGGACTATTTGGATTTTCTAAGCTGTCTAATCTATATTACACATATTATAAATAGATATATTTATACTATAATAAAATAATAAATCCTATTGCTAAAAATAAACTAATAATAATTCGATAAAAATAAATAAAAATAAAACTAAGTTATCTATTTTATCACAGTATTACCTTTTTTGTATAAGATTAAAAGCAAAAATATATTTTTTTTTTTCACTTGAAATTTTCACTTATCGAATGTTGTATGACATGTGAGTAATGTTATACAAAATTTTAAACAAGGTTTGTATACCACAAATTACTATAAAAAAAATAATTGGATTTTTTCCCTTTAAAATATGATTTGATAAAAGGATAAAGTAATTTAAAAAAGTTTAATCATTTATGAATACCTAAGAAGAGATTTAGTATATCAGATTGCAACTCTTATAGGTTGTGAAAAGACTGCTGCCTGAAATATAATAAATGAGTTTCATAAATCAAATGAATTTGCACAAGAAAAAAAAAACATTTTGGATGTCCAAGTTTTCTCACTTCCATCAATCATAAAAATCTAAAAAGTTGAGTAGCACTACTAATTATAACCAAGGTCATATATATTGAAACTGTTTTTCTTGGTTTGAAATTGAATCCCTTGTTTCTTTAACGGTCTTTGCTATTGATATATCTTATATGGAAATTCTTCATAAATATATTATACTGTTTTTGAAAAAATATCCAACAATTTCAAGTTGTAATCATATATCTTTCAGCAGAATAATGCAAGACCTTACACTATAAAAATTGTAAGAACATTTATCGATGAAAATAAGGTTTGAATAGTAGATTAGTTCTCCAAAGTCTGAATCTAAATCTAATTAAAAATCTTTGATTCAAAGTGAAAAAGCTATACATTATAAGCTAAAATTGAATAATCTCCAGAAACTTGATGTCATTGTACAAGAGGTATAAAATAATATATTACTTAAGTTTTACTGTCAGCTGATTGTAAGTATACTGAATCTGTCGTCACTTGCTTAGAAGCTATAAGAAAACCTATAAAATATTAAAATAGAATTTTTAATAAAAAAAATTTTAAAAAAAATTAAAGAAAAACTTAAAAAAACAATTGTGATTTTAGTTTAGTAAAAAAAATCCATGTCTATAGTCTTTCCTATATAACTCCTATAAAATAAAACAAAAATGTATAAAATTTTAGTATATGATATTTTGATAATTATTAAATATATGATAAAAATTAATAAAAAATTAGTTATTACAATTTTAAATAATTAAGTATAAAAAAATATTCACAATAATATAATAGGTAGCTGTATAAAAAAATCTACTGGTTTTTATAATTAGTAATTTAAAAATAAAAATAATTATAAAAAATATTATATATCATTAAAAAACTACAATTTGTAATATTATTATAAAAATTATTTTAAAAAAATAAATACTTAAAAAATAATTAATTCTAATAAATATTATTTTAAAATAATATATATTGTTATAAAGAAATAACAGTCAATAATATAACTTAAAATTTATGAAATATAGATTATATATTATAGAAGTTGCTTAATCAGATAATTGACTCTCAATCTTATTATTTTTTTTATTTTTTTTATTTTTTTTTGATCAATTATTTTATTTATTTATTTTTTTTTTTACTATTAAAAAATATAAAACTGATATAATAGAATATAAAAAAGAAAATAATAATAATAATAATAAATATTTATTGAATAAAATCACTATATTTATCACATTGTTTTTGATCAATAAAATCCTTCCAAATTATTTAAACTTGTCAAATTTATATTTTCTTTCTGCTTTTTATCTCCTTAAACAATTAAATTATTAAAAAAGTAATCAATTTAATATTATTAAATAAAAATCAAACAAATTATATTCTTTAATATCAAGTATATTAAAAAATTTATTAATAATCTATTTATAATAAAAGTTCTTAAAAAAATATTTAAATCTCTTATATAAAAAAAGATACCTATAACAAATGAAATAATTCTTAATAAACTTCAAAAAAAATTCAATAAAATTATAAAAAATTTTGAACAAAATTCAAATTAATTTTAATTTTCTTAATCCTCTCGAAGGCTTCTAATAGTACTACTTTGATATCAGTTTAATACTTAAATTTATTATAAATTTATATAAGTAAATTATAATCTATATATTAAATTTACTATATATCAATATTATTTTGATACTACTTTGATATCAGTTCAATACTTTTCAAAACCCCAATTCTTTCAAATAGAAAACAATTTCAAAATAATTCTAACCATTTTATTACAAGTATAATTATAACTAATTACTTTAAAAAAATCTTAAAATTCAAACAATTTACTATTAATTCCAATTAATAACAAAAATATATATAAATCAAAGAAAAATTTATTTAATAATATATTAAAAATATAATAATTGAAATTATAACAGAAAAAATCATCAAGTTTTTTTTGATCTATTTAAACAAAAAATTTTTAATCTTATATACATTTCTTATAAAACCTGAATTAACTTCATTCTATTATTAAACAATATCTTAAAACTTTTTTTAACAAAGCTCTTTTAAATAATCAAGTATTTTATTATTGAAAACAATTAGCAATTATCTTTATATCCAAAAAAATTATTTGATCACTTGAACTCTTTAATATATATTTAATTTCATTTATAAAAATCAGTAAAAAAATCTTTATTAAAGTTATCAATAACAAATCATTAATAATTATATTCAAATATAATGTTCTATTAAATTATAACTTTGCTAAAATAAAAAGTCAAAATACAATAGAACCTATATTAATTATCTTATTAAAAATTGAAATAGCAAATATTTTTAACAAAGAAATATAAATAATCTCTTTTAAAAAATATTTATATATTTAATAACTATAACAAATTTTTGTAAGATAAATTGTATACTGTTGAAATATAAAATATATTATTTTATTTTATTAATATTGTTTTTACTGTTGAAATATAAAATATACTATTTTATTTTATTAATATTGTTTTATAGTATAGATATATTTAAATATAATATATTACTATTAATATATCAACTTATATATAAATTAATTTGTATGACAATTATAACTAGAAAAGATATATTTATATTATTATAAATAGTAATAAAATTGCAAGTAAAAAAATAGTTATATCTGTTATATAATTTTATAGATTATATAAAAAAAAAACTCTTTCCCGCAAATCTTTTTTTTCAAAAAAATTTCCTTTTATAGCAACAGGCAAAATTCAAAGGAGAAAAAAAACAGCAGGCGCTCTTGGGAGCCCTACTCCC